TGAAGACATGGAGTTTGTGTCTGGATACCGAGATGAGTTCCTTGATTTTGCTGCCCTCCTCTTTGGCTGGTTCAGAAAGTTTGTGGCAGAGCGAGGGGCTGTAGGGGCCAGCCTTGAGGGCCACTGGCGACCACTGGAGGCTCAGATCAGGAGGCTGCCCCAGGACCCTGCCCTCTGGGTGCTCCATGTCTTGCCCAACCATAGTGTGGGCATCAACCTGGGGCAAGGGGCAGAGCCAGGCCCTGGAGCAGGCCTAGGGGCTGCCCGGCTCCTGGGAGATGAGCCTCCACTCCACCTGCGAGACCTGAGCCCCTATGTCAGCTTTGTCAGCCTAGAGGATGGGGAAGGAGAGGAGGAGGTGGAAGAGGAAGAGAATGGAGTAGAGGAGTGTGCAGGCTCAGAGAAGGTGGAACCAGAGGAGGGTGGTGAGCCAAACCCTACCAGTAAAGAGTCCCCAGAGGAAGCAAACCCTCCAGAGGAGCCAGAGGAGGCTGAGCAGGAGGCAGGAGGTGGTGAGGACGGCTGCAGAGAGGACAGAGTGGAGGATGAAGCAGGACTGGAAAAGAAGAAGGGATAGAGAAGTGGTAAGACCCTGGAGCTGGCCCTGCCTTAAGCCCTGCCCAGCCATATTCACCTCCCCTTCAACTCAGAAAGCCCTCCCCAGCCACTCAGAACCCACCTTGGATTCATACATTCTCAAGAAAAAACAAAGTTCTGACGGGGCCTACATTTCTGCATGGCAGCACATTCTGGTACTAAGTAGAAGCTGTCACCTGTAGATGAAAGCCCAACGTAAGCCCAGGCCTTCACTGTGGGAGTCAGGCAGGAAGCAGGAAAGGACTGCGGTTGGGAAGCAGCAACTGGTGTAGTGTGAAGAGACATGGAGGGGAATTCTGGCACGATGGCCAACTGGTAGCAACCCTCGGCAGCGGCTCCTGAGCAGAAGAAGAAAAACTTGATGGAATCGGACTATATGAAGCCAGAGATGGGGAGCCGAACCAAGAAAGAAGTTTGGCAAGCTGTAACTCCAAGGAAGAGCATTCAAGAAAACAAATTACAGGAATTACCAAAGGAGAAGAGGATGGTCCTAAAGCACAGATGCTCTCTACTCCAAGAAATTTTGGAGGAGAATTTCCCAAGCATTGTAAGAGATACAGAACTTCAGATAGCTGACAGTTTCAGAACCCCAGCAAGACTCAATGCAAATAAAGCATCTTCTAGACCCATTGTGATTAACTTTGCCAAAGTTAACATGAAGGAGAAAATTCTGCAAGCAGCCAGACATAAGAAAAGCATTACTTACAAAGGGAGATATATCAGAATGACGGCAGATCTCTCAGCCAAAATGTTTCAAGCCAGAAGAAAATGGTCATTGACCTTCAGTCTCCTAAAACAAAACAACTTCCAAACCAAGATCCTGTATCCAGCTAAACTGAGTTTCATTTGTGATGGAGAAATCAAATACTTTAATAATATAGACATGTTGAAAAAAATCTGCCATAACTAAACTAACTCTCCAGGATATTTTCAGACCTATCCTTCACAATGACCAGTGCAATTCTCTATCTCCAAAGTAAACTCAACCAGAAATTTTTGAACAAAACCCAAATTCCACAGTGGCAAAAGGATTAAAAATGTCCACTGGATATCTGAAAATCATGACACCCAAAACATCATCAGGCTTATCATTTCTCTCAATGTGAATGGCTTAAATTGTCCTCTAAAGAGGCACAGGCTGGGTGACTGGATACATAAACTCAGATCAGATATCTCTTACATACAAGAATCTCACCTTACCTTAAAGGATAAAAATAGACTCAGGGTGAAGAGATGGACTTGTATAATACAGGCAAATGGAAACCAGAAAAAAGTATGGGTTGCAATTTTAGTAGCAGATACAATTGGCTTTAAACCAACAAAGATAAAGAAAGATAAGGAAGGTCACTACATATTTCTCAAGGGAAACACCCAACATGAAGAGATTTCTTTTCTTTTTTCTTTTTTGAGACAGAGCCTCACCCTGGGTAGAGTGCATGACATCACAGCTCACAGCAACTTACAACTCCTATGCTCAAGTGAGTCTCCTGCCTCCACCTCCCAAGTAGCTGGGACTACAAGTGCCCGACACAATGCCCAGCTATTCTTTGGTTGCAGCCATCATTGTTGTTTGGTGGGTCCAGGCTGGATTTGAACCCACCAGCACAGGTGTATGTGGCACAGCCACAGGCACCAAGCCATGAAATGATTTCTATAATGAACATTTATGCACCCTACCAGTATGCTCCTCAATTCATAAAGCAGACGCTAATGGATATGAACAACTTGATATCTTCCTGTACTGTAATAGTGGAGGATTTTAACACCCCTTTGACAGTTTTGGATAGATTCTCCAAGAAGAAACTAAACAAAGAAATATTAGACTTAAACCTGACCCTGGAACAAATGCACTTTACAGAGGTCTACAGAACATTTCACCCTAATAAAACTGAATATACATTCTTCTCATCAGTCTGTGGGTCATCCTCCAAAATAGACCATATCCTAGGACACAAGTCTAACCTCAGCAAATTTAAAAGTGTAGAAATTGGCTCGGTACCTGTGGCTCAAGCTGCTAAGGCGCCAGCCACATACACCTAAGGTGGCGGGTTCGAATCCCCAGCCTGGGCCCGCCAAACAACAATGACAGCTGCAACCAAAAAATGGCCAGGCATTGTGGCGGGCGCCTGTAGTCCCAGCTACTCAGGAGGCTGAGGCAAGAGAATCACCTAAGCCCAGGAGTTGGAGGTTGCTGTGAGCGTGATGCCATGGCACTCTACCCAGGGGGATAGCTTGAGGCTCCGTCTCAAAAAAAAAAAAAAAAGTGTAGAAATTATTCCTTGTATCTTCTTGGACTGCCATGGAATAAAAGTTGTACTCAACAGCAACAGGAGTCTTCATACTCAAACAAAGTCATGGAAGTTAAATAATCCTAGGCTGAATGATAGCTGGGTCAAAGATGAGATTAAGAAGGAAATCACCAAATTTTTGGAACAAAATGATAATGAAGACACAAATTATCTAAACCTGAGGGCTACTGCGAAAGCAGTCCTAAAAGGGAAATTTATAGCATTGGAAGCCTTCATCAAGAAAACAGAAAGAGAGGAAGCCAACAACTTAATGGATCATCTCAAGCAACTGGAAAAGGAAGAACATTGCAACCCCAAACCCAGCAGAAGAAAGAAATAACCAAAATTAGGGCAGAATTAAATGAAATTGATTTGTCAGGACCTGCTTCTAACACCACTTGTCAGGGCCCAGGACTGGCCAGGTCTTGGGCCCATCTTAGGTAGGTTACGGATGCGGACCACTAAGCCACCTTGCTCAGGAACCGTTTCTCTTAGGTGCTTGAGGGCTATTTACTTTAGCTGGAGAGAGAGAGAGAGAGAGAAAGTGTGTGTCTTAGAGAGAGTAAAGCAGTCTTCTTAGAACAGATAGATCTTAGTCTTTACCAGAGCTTGGTAATCTTCAGCAGAGAGATGCCATGCTGGCATTCTGCAGGCAGGAGAGGAGACAGAGTCAGAGTAAGCAAGCCCATGATAGAATGTACATGCTTTTTGACTGCCTTCTCCTCCAGCCTAATATAAGGCTGAGCTCGTGCCTGTCAACACCACAGGTGTAGAGACTGCCAATTCACCAATGCTCTCATCTCACAAGCTCTCTCATGCTTGTTAGAACTAAATCTCTCTCCATGCCCTTTTCACCAAGGTGTTCCATTACAGGTATTTCCTGTAACTCACTCCTCCTAGCCATAGGCGATACGGGCTGCTACATTGATTCATTTAATCAATTTCCAAAATGAAAATAGATTCATTCAGAAGATCAATGAAACAAAAAGTTGGTGTTTTTTTAAAGATTAACAAAATTGATAAACCTTTGGCCAACCTAACCAGAAATAGAAAAGTAAAATCTCTAATATCATCTATCAGAAACAATAAAGGAGAAATAACAACAGACACTTCAGAAATTCAAAAAATCCTCAATGACTACTACAAAAATCTCTATTCCCAGAAATATGAAAATCTAAAGAAAATGGACCAATACCTGGAAGCACACCACCTTTCTAGTCTCAACCAGAAAGAATTAGAAATCTTGAATAGACCTATATCAACCACTGAAATAGCATCATCAATACAAAATCTCCCTAAAAAGAAATGTCCAGGACCAGATGGCTTCACATCCAAATTCTATCAAACCTTTTAAGAGGAACTAGTACCTATATTATACAACGTTTTCCAAAGCATAGAAAAAGAAGGAATACTTCCCAACACATTCTATGAAGCAAATATCACCCTGATACCCAAACCAGGAAGGGATCCAACAAAGAAAGAAAATTATAGACCAATATCATTAATGAATATTGAAGTAAAAATATTCAATAAGATCTTAGCAAACAGAATTCAACAACACATCAGAAAAAATTATACACCATGATCAAGTTGGTTTTATTCCAGGGTTACAGGGTTTGTTCAACATAGGCAAATCTATAAATATAATATATCACATCAATAAAATAAAAAACAAAGACCATATGATTCTCTCAATTAACTCAGAAAAAGCCTTTGATAATATCCAGCATCCTTTCGTGATCAGAATTCTTTTTTTTTTTTTTTTTGAGACAGAGCCTCAAGCTATCCTCCTGGACAGAGAGCTGTTGCATCACAGCTCACAGCAACCTCCAACTCCTGGGCTCAAGCAAGTCTCCTGCCTCAGCCTCCCAAGTAGCTGGGAACACAGGCACCCATCACAACACCCGGCTATTTTTTTGGTTGCAGCCATCGTTGTTATTTGGTGGGCCCGGGCTGGATTTGAACCCCCCACTTTAGGTGTATATGGCTGACACCTTAGCCACTTGAGCCACAGGTGCCAAGCCCATGATCAGAATTCTTAAGAAATTCGGCATAGAAGGGACATTTCTTAAAACTATTACAGGCCATCTACAGCAAACCCACAGCCAGTATCATATTGAATGGTGTAAAATTGGAAACATTTGCACTCAGATCAGGAACGAAGCAAGGATGCCCACCATCTCCACTGCTATTCAACATAGTAATGGAAGTTTTAGTCACCACAATCAGTCAAGAGAAGGTGATCAAGGGTATCCAAATAGGGTCAGAGGAGATCAAACTCTCACTTTTCACTGATGATATGATCCTATACTTGGAAAATCCCAGGGACTGAACTTCAAAACTCTTAGGAGTGATCAAAGGAATACAGCAGCATCTCAGGATTCCAAATCAATACTTACAAGTCAGTAGCTTTTATATACGTCAACAATAGTCAAGCTGAAAAAACAATCAAGGACTCTATTCCTTTTACAATAGTGCCAAAAAAGATGAAGTATCTGGGAATTTACCTAACAAAGGACATGAAAGATCTCTATAAGGAGAACTACGAAACTCTGAGAAAAGAAATAGCTGAAGATGTTAACAAATGGAAAAACATACCATGCTCATGGCTGGGAAGAATCAACATTGTTAAAGTGTCCATACTACCCAAAGCAATCTACAAATTTAATGCAATCCCTATTAAAGCGCCATTGTCATACTTTAAAGAACTTGAAAAAATAGTACTTCATTTTATATGGAATCAGAAAAAAACCTTGAATAGCAAATACATCGCTCAGAAATAAGAACAAATCAGGAGGTATCACATAACCAGACTTCAGGCTATACTATAAATCTATAGTGATCAAAACAGCATGGTACTGGCACAAAAACAGAGCTGTAGATTTATGGAACAGAATAGAGAACCAAGAGATGAACCCAGATACTTAATTCCCATTTGATCTTCGACAAGCCTATCAAACATATTCAGTTGGGGAAAGATTCCCTATTTAACAAATGGTGCTGGGTGAACTGGCTGGTGACCTATAGAAGACTGAAACTGGACCACTGCCTTTCACCATTAACAAAAGTTGGTTCTCACTGGATAAAAGACTTAAACTTAAGACATGAAACTATAAAAATACTAGAAGAGACTGCAGGGAAAACACTTAAAGAAATTGGCCTGGGAGAATACTTTATGTGGACCCCTCCCCCAGGCAATTAAAGTAACACCAAAAATACATTACTGAGATTTGATCAAACTAAAATGCTCTTGCACAGGGGCAGCGCCTGTGGCTCAGTGAGTAGGGCACCAGCCCCATATACCGAAGGTGGCAGGTTCAAACCTGGCCCTGGCCAAACCGCAACAACAAAATAGCCAAATGTTGTGGCCAGCACCTGTAGTCCCAGCTACTCAGGAGGCTGAGGCAAGATAATCACCTAAGCCCAGGAGTTGGAGGTTGCTATCAGCTGTGTGATACCACAGCACTCTACCAAGGGCAATAAAGTGAGACTTTGTCTCTAAAAAAAAAAAGCTTTTGCACAGCCAAGTAAGTAAAGCAAACAGACAGCCTTCAGAATGGGAGAAGATTCTTTGCAGGTTATGCTTCCGACAAAGGTCTGATAACTAGAATATACAGAGAACTCAAACTAATCCATAAGAAAAGAATAAATAACCCGATTTCTATGTGGGCAAGAGACTTGAACAGAAACTTCTCTGATAAAGACATGGCACATGGCCTACATACACATGAAAAATTGCTCATCATCCTTAATCATCAGAGAAATGCAAATCAAAACCACTTTGAGATATCATCTAACTCCAGTAAGATTAGCCCACATAACAAAATCCCAAAACTACAGATGTTGGTGTGGATGCAGAGAGAAGAGAACGCTTCTACACTGCTGCTGGGAATGCGAGCTAGTACAACCTTTTTTTTTTTTTTTTTTTTTTTTTGAGACAGAGCCTCAAGCTATCCCCCTGGGTAGAGTGCCATGGCATCATGCTCACAGCAACCTCCAACTCCTGGGCTCAAGCGAGTCTCCTGCCTCAGCCTCCCAAGTAGCTGGGACTATAGGCGCCCGCCACAGCGCCTGGCCATTTTTTGGTTGCAGCCATCATTGTTGTTTGGCGGGCCCAGGCTGGGGATTCGAACCCGCCACCTTGGGTGTATGTGGCTGGCGCCTTAGCTGCTTGAGCCACAGGCACCGAGCCAAGTATGACCTTTTTGAAAAGAAGTTTGGAGAACACTCAAGGAACTAAAAGTAGACCTACCATTTGATCCAGCAATTCCTCTACCCAAATGATCAAAAATCATTTTACAACAAAGACATTTGCACCAGAATGTTTATTGCACCCCAATTCATAATAGCCAAGACATGGAAACAGCCCAAGTGTCCATTGACCCGTGAATGGATTAACAAATTGTGGTATATGTACACCATGGAGTACTATGCAGATGGAGACTTTACATCTTCTATGTTTACCTGGATGGAGTTGGAACATATTCTTCTTAGTAAAGTATCTCAAGAATGGAAGAAAAAGTATCCAATGTACTTGATACTACTATGAAATCAATATATAACCACCTACATACTCATACGAATGGCAAAACATAACTATAGTCCAGAAATTAGAAGAGAAGAGGAGAGAGAGGGGAGGGGAAGGGGGATACGGGAGGAGGGAGGGTATTTGGGGAGACCTCACCCATATGCATGATGCAATGGTACATTTCAAAACTATTAAGAAATGAGTATAATTGTGATGGATGTGTTACTTAGTTCATTGTAAGCATTTCACATTGTATATCAAAGCAGCACCCTGAACCCCATAAATGCATCAATGTACAAAGTTATGATTTAATAAAAAAAATTTTTAAAAGAAAAGAGACACGTAGGACAAGGGAGAACCATTAGCCAAACTGAAACCAGCAATCATGATAAGAGGGCAATAGCCTGAGGTTTGTGTTTCCACATTCTGGAAAGGAAGAGCCAATAATTTAAAAAATAGTTTTTAGTAGTTAAGAAACACATGGAATTTATTGAAGCTGTCATTAGTACAGAGGCAGATTTCTGTATCTGGCTTCTTTAAAATGAGGGTTCTAAGAGAACGCAAGTATTGATTGCCTTCTGTGTACCAGGGATTGCCTGCTTTCATTAATAACAAAGCATTTTTGTAAAAATAAATCACAGTCTATCCTCATAAGCTTTTCTTCTTGGCTCAGATGTTGGAGTCTGGTGTCACAGGGCTATAATGAAGATGAGAATCTGGAAAAGATAAAGAAATTGAGAGATGAGCTCTGAGATCAAGGAGGTGGCAGGAGTGATAGCTTGAACTGGGCAATCAGACTCCAAGATATTATCTCTGTGGCCTGGTAACAGTGGGTGTTCAGTAAAGATCTGTGAATTGAATAAATGGCCCTCACCTTCCTCCACAGTTTCATCACCCACTAACTTGATCTAGCCATCATCTGCCCTTTTTTTAAATCCCCATTCCCTAAACTTAATGGAATAGCCACCTTCTCACTCCTAGCACTGGTCCCTGACCAACAATGGCTTCCCTCCCTGTGCACTCTACGATTTCTGGCTGGACTCTGCTTACACAGTCTGTGATCCATGGTGGAGAGGATTTTGCCCACTTTCAAGTCCAACTACCCATTTTCATCCTCAGCCCTAAAATCTGTATTCTCAGCTCCTAATCAGCTCTAGGCTTGATCCCCGTAGGCCTGGGCTGGGTTTACAGTCACCTGAAAGCTACTGGAAGTAGGACCTCTCCCAGGAAAGCTAAGGGTCCCTAACTGATTCAGAGGATCAGTTTACCTGGAGAGGACTGCAGTGACTGCTCCCTCCTCCTCTTGCACAGCACACACACAAGGATTCCAGTGAGGAGGAAGATCACACCCAGGAGGGACACAATTGGCACTATAGATGATGTACCAGCTTTTGGACCAGCACTTTCTTCCAGCTGCTTCTGGTTCTCCCCAGTCTTGTGCCCAGCTCCAAATCTGAGGCCCACAGTGAGGGGGGTGGTTTCACTGGGATGAGGGAGCTCTTTGTCCAAGGACAGTGATCCTGGTGGAAGGGTGGGGTGCTGGGTAGATTGCAGAGTGGAAGGCACGAGGGTCTGGCCAGGGGTGCCTATGTTTGAAGGCTCAGGAAGCTGGGTTCTGGGGGGAGGTAAATGCTTCTGGTGTCTCAGAGGCCCCATGTGAGCATGTCCACATTCTGGAAAGGAAAGAAATAAGGAATCAGGACTATCAAAGGAGAAAATAAAGAAGAAAATAGAGGTGAGAAACAGTATATCATTAACTCGCCCATCACAGGGGTCATGGCTGACACCCCATAACAAAAAACAGATTAACAAGAGAAAAACATAAGAAATGTAATCAAAGTTTTACAAGACAGAATCCTTCAGAAATGAAGACCCAATGACCCAAGGAAAACTATTTTTATATTTAGGTTCAATGAAGAAAGGACAGTTGTGTAGATGTGTAATTGGATTTGAAAAAAAAAAAAAGGGAACAGCAAAGCCTATGTATTCAAATTCATCTTGGCCCTCAGGATAGGGCAGGACCCCTCTGGAATGAGGGTCTTATGACCTATTTCGAAGTGAGGTAGCTCAGAGTATTCCTTTATGACTAGCTCACACAGAAAGATAACAAGGGCTCTGAGTGAGCTTCTGCAATTTTCTGAATTGCCAAGGTGCCATATTTTGGAATGTCATGTTCTGAGCTCCAAAAGAAGGAAGAGCAATGGGTCAGGAAGAACATCAAAGGGACAGCTGAAGGCCAGGAGAGGAAGGCAGTAACAGAGGGGAAAAGTAGGGGACACAGAAGTGACTAAACCACAAAATGCAACCACTGAGACAAGTGAGTGTTCTGAACTGAGAAGTGAGGAGAGGAGCATTGGAATCCTGGCTGTGCTACACATTAGCTGTGTGACCTTGCCCCTTGTTTCCCACTTCTCTGGGACTCCTGTCTTTCAGCTGTAAAATGAGGATAATTTTAGTACCAAGAGTCAGGGGAGCTGGGGGATTTAATGAAATTACATAGGCCTAGGCAGTGTGAAGGGCAGAATGGGCACCACTGGTGCTATACAAGACAACTGTAACTACAGTGTGGAAGAACAATTATAAAAGTTGTATATTTATTTTAGGACAAAAATACAACCAGCACATCAAACTTGTGACTTCAAAGATATTATTGCTTAGGATAAGCTGCTGTTTAAGTTTTTCTGTTGTTTGTTTATTTTTAAGACAGAATCTCACTATATTGCCCTGGTAGAGTCCCATGGTATCACAGCTCACAGCAACCTCAAACTCTTGGGGTTTAAGCAATTCTCTTGTCTCAGTCTCCCAAGTAGCTGGGACTGCAGGCACCCGCCATAATGTCTGGCTATTTTTTGGTTGTAGTTGTCATTGTTTGGCAGGCCTGGGCTGGATTCAAACCCACCAGCTCCAGGGCTGATGCTACAGGCGTGGAGCCTCCTATATAAGTTTTCCAATACTTGTTTGTGTACACTTAAGCTTTATTCATTTCATTGTACACAAATTTTACCTCAAAAGAAGCAGTAAGAAATTGAACTCTACTAGATACATATATGCACGCTAAAACATTTTGGTATGAAGTACAATGATGCCTGTAACTGCTTTGAAAGGCATCAAAAAATAAGGTGATTGACGACAGAAGGATACATAGAGGCTCCATGATGAATGTGGATTAAATCAAATATAGTAAAATGCTGTAAAATCAACATTGTAAAACATAAAATATCTCCATTTTATTATATAAATATGTAAAAATATGTATATAAAATTGTGTAGAATTTAGGTAGTAGGTATACGGATGTTCATTGCATAATTCTTTCAACTTTTGGTTATGTCTAAATTTTCATAATTAAATATTGGAAAACAAAAATAGTGCCTTGATTTCAAGAAAAAATATTAAGTAAATAATGGCCTGACTGCTAGGCTCAACCCACATATCACACTCCCAATACATAACTCCACCTGGGCCCAGGTAGCCCAGCCTCTGTCCCCAACCCCAGGTGGCCTCCTCCTGGTCCCAGCTGCCTAGGAGACCCTGGCAGTGCCTGGCTCCACACTTAACTGTGCAGCAAAAATCATGAAAGTGGTGGTGAATGATGTTTGACCAACAGGATCTTAAATGAAATTACTTTGGTCAGGATCATTCTAGGAATGTGTGAAGTCATGGGGGAAAGAGCCAAGGCAAAGAAAACCTCTCACCTTGGAGATCAAAGCAGCTCATCAATTCTTGAACCCACTGGTCTTTGCTGCCCCCACACACACTCCGGTAAGGTAGCTGGAACCTGCAGAGAAAAGACCTGGTCTAAGGTGTGGCTCCTCCTCCTCTTCCCCAGCAATTTCCTCATTCCTAAGACACACAAAGTCACTACCAAGAAAAGCCACTTCTGCTAGAACTAGGAAATTCCCAGGGAGGTGGAACAAAGAAATTAAGATGCAAACAGAACCCCAAAGTGGGTAGGTCTACCCGAAAGTTCTTCAGGTTTGACCAAGGAGGGTCCTGGAGGCAACCTGACAGGATCTGCTCTTGCAGGTACAGGTGAGATTACCTGACATAATTCGGACATCGGTGGTAGCCTTTCAGATGTTTTCGGAGGTGACCCACGAATTGAAACGATGGGGAGGAGTCAGAAGAAATAATTGTATCACAGTGACAATTTCCAGTGATACTGCCCTCATTGCCATCACCTGAGCAGAAAAGGAGTGGTCAGCATAGGTTGTCAGGCCAAGGGCCTCTCCCCTGCTGTTACTTAGCCTCCAATCGCCTGCCCCACTGCGGCCTCTCCCCTAGGCCCCAGGGTCTGACTGCCAGGCTCAACCCACACGTCACACTCACAATACATCCATAATCCCACCTGGGCTCAGGTGTCCCAGCCTCTGTCCCCAACCCCAGGCGGCTTGCCTTCTCCTTGTCCCACCTGCCTAGGGGACCCAGGCAGCGCCTGGTTCCACACTTAACTCCGCGGCTGTACTGTCCTCTCCCCACATCCATTCTTGTGGCCTGGGACTCCGGGATCTGGGTCTCCAGCTCCCTAGACTCATTACCTGGCAGAATCAGCTGAGCCAGCAGAAGCACGAGAGACCAGCGTCCCCAGCCGTGGCACATCTCGGGGCTCGGCAGAGTTTGGGGGAATTGGCGCTGCCTCCTCCAGTCTGACACCTACACAGGCTCCAGAGTGTCACGTCCCGCTGATTTCTCAAAGTCGCTTCCTTTCCCCCGCGCCCGCCTGAGATTCTGAAGGAGACAAGTCCGGGCTGGGCAGGGAGCGCGAGGCGGCGGCGCCCTTCTTTCCCGCACTCGCGCCGTCGGGAACCGACCCTGCGGTCAGTACAGCCGAGCGCTCCCTGTGCCAGCCTCCGGCCGCGGCGGCGCCAGCAGAGGGGAACCCCCCGGAGGCGGAGCTCCCTAGACCTGCGCCCCCGCGCCTGGACTGGAGCCTCAGGCGAGGGGGCAGCCAGGAATGTTTGTAGAAACTGAAAGAAAACTCAGGATGCGGGGCGAGGCGGGGCGAGGCGGGACGAGGCAGGTGGGCCAGTGGCGGGACAAGTTGATTCGGTTGGTTCGGTTGACAGCTCCCTCCGCCTGCCCAGGTCAGCTTGCGGACCAGTGAAATGGGATGAGCCATCAGCCCCGCCTCTTTCAAGATGCTTTCATTTCCAAGGCTCTAGTCACATGGCCTGAGAGTCACCACGTCTGACCGAAGCCCAGCTCGCTCTGTCCAGAGCAGCCACCAGCTGACGCCCCGAGGCCATGGGGGCGTGGCCACCCGAGGAGCAGGCAGTGGGCTCGGGCAGCCCTGACGTCATGACCGAACCCCTCTACCCTCCCCCGAGGTATTTACCTTCGAAAAGTGGTGGCGGCTGCAGGTACCGGAGGACTGGGGCGGCGGGGCTCATTGCCAAGCCCATGGATCGGGGAATGCCGTCACTCCTCTTCCCATACCCCCACCGGAGGATTCCAAATTCTTCCTTCCTCACCAAATCCTTCCCAATAGGATTAGCCACCCTCATCTCTATTCATCTCTATTTTTAATTTAAACCCCACTTTTGAGAGTCTCGTCCCTGAATACTTATCTGCAATTCTAATTGCCCACTTTCAAGTCCAGCTACCCATTTTCATCCTCAGCCCTAAAATCTCTATTCTCAGTTCCTAACACTCATCCATAGATCCCACCCTAAGTGACCCTCAAACCCTCTCTCCCCCAATTTGTGACCCAGCCTCAAACTCTCTCACCACTACCCTATCCCTCACCATATATCTCTCCCTCTGTTTAGTCTGGGCCCACGCCTTGTGCCCATGAAGACATGGAGTTTGTGTCTGGATACCGAGATGAGTTCCTTGATTTTGCTGCCCTCCTCTTTGGCTGGTTCAGAAAGTTTGTGGCAGAGCGAGGGGCTGTAGGGGCCAGCCTTGAGGGCCACTGGCGACCACTGGAGGCTCAGATCAGGAGGCTGCCCCAGGACCCTGCCCTCTGGGTGCTCCATGTCTTGCCCAACCGTAGTGTGGGCATCAGCCTGGGGCAAGGGACAGAGCCAGGCCCTGGAGCAGGCCTAGGGGCTGCCCGGCTCCTGGGAGATGAGCCTCCACTCCACCTGCGAGACCTGAGCCCCTATGTCAGCTTTGTCAGCCTAGAGGATGGGGAAGAAGGAGAGGAGGAGGTGGAAGAGGAAGAGAATGGAGTAGAGGAGTGTGCAGGCTCAGAGAAGGTGGAACCAGAGGAAGGTGGTGAGCCAAACCCTACCAGTAAAGAGTCCCCAGAGGAAGCAAACCCTCCAGAGGAGCCAGAGGAGGCTGAGCAGGAGGCAGGAGGTGGTGAGGACGGCTGCAGAGAGGACAGAGTGGAGGATGAAGCAGGACTGGAGAAGAGGAAGGGACGGAGAAGTGGTAAGACCCCAGGACTGGCCCTGCTTTACCCTGCCCAGCCCTATTCTCCTCCTCTTCAACTCAGAAAGCCCTCCCCAGCCACTCAGAACCCACCTTAGATTCATACATTCTCAAGAAAAAACAAAGTTCTGATGGGGCCTACATTTCTGCATGGCAGCACATTCTGGAACTAAGTAGAAGCTGTCCCCTATAGATCGATCATGCCCTCTCTACCCATCTCTAATCACTGAAGTTACTTGCCTGGCCCCTGTAGGCATATCTGAGTTTGGAGCCCCTCTCCTGCTACACTCCTCGCCCTATCTTTTCCCTCTTTCCCCAGAGGCTGCGCCTTTGCACCTTTCCTGCCTCTTACTGGTGACAGATGAGCATGGCACCATCTTGGGCATTGATCTGCTAATGGATGGAACTCAAGGGACTGTCTCCCGGGGATCAGGGACTGACAACTTGGCTTCTCGGGCTTATGCTCTCCTCTGCCACAGCATGGCCTGCCCCATGGGCTCTGGGGACCCCCGAAAACCCCGACAACTTACTGTGGGAGATGCCCAGCTGCATCGGTACAGAGATCTGGTATCTGAGGGTGGGGAGTCTGGAGGCCTGGACTCCTAAACCTTCCAACCTGATGCCATTTCTACCCTTATTCAGACAGCTGGAGAGCCTGGTCCCAAGACTGGGTGTGAAGTTAGCCAAGACCCCAATGCGGACATGGGGTCCCCGGCCAGGCTTCACTTTTGCTTCCCTTCGGGCTCGAACCTGCCATGTTTGTCACAGGCATAGCTTTGAAGTGAAGCTGACACCTTGGTGAGCAGCCTGCAAAGTTGGAGGGAGAAGAAGACCCCAACAGACTAACAAACAGAAAAAAAGCAGGCTGGTGGGGCCTAGCACACAAAATGGGGGGGCAAGGAAGGAGTTGAGAAGACAGGGAGGAAACAACAAACAGGCTATTACAGCTGAGTGTAGTGACTGACACCTATAATCTCAGCTCTTTGAGAAACTGAGGCAGGATGATTGCTTGAGCCCAGGAATTTGAGGTTGCAGTGAGGTATGATCACACCACTGCACTCTAAAAGTGAGATTCAGTCTCAAAAAAGAAAAGAAAAAACAAACAGGCTGTTACAAGCAGTTAGAGGGTATAAGACAAACAGACCAAATGGCATATGGGCAGCTTGCCAGACAGATGGACAGCAGACAGGACCTACAGAGATTAACACTTGGTGCCCACCATCCCATGTCCCCAGCCCCCAGTGCAGTGCTGTCTTGTACTGTGGAGAAGCTTGTCTCCGGGCTGACTGGCGACGGTGCCCAGATGATGTGAGCCACCGATTTTGGTGCCCAAGGCTTGCAACCTTCATGGACCGGGCAGGGGAACTAGCATCCTTGCCTTTTACCTACACTGCAGGTACTATAAGGAGATCAGAGTGGTTGGGGCCCTGGGTGCCTGAGGCTGCAGTCTAGACCCTGGAATAAAGACTGGGGGCTGGATGGTGGAGACAGGGTCTTTGAAGCTGATGACTGTGTTGCCTGGGGCCCTGAGAGAGATTGGGGGCTTGGGAGATAGGGATTCAAATGCTTGCTCCCCAACTCCACCACTAACTGGCAGTGTAATCTTAAACAATTACTTTACTTTTGGGGGTCTCAGTTTCCTCATCTGTAAAAGAGGGATTCTAACAAATGTAAGTACTTATGAAACTGTTACAAGGATTATGTGGGCTTGGTGTGTGGTCCATTGTGCACCCTCAGAGATGTTATTTCCACCTCTGACTGCAACCAGACTCAATCCAGGATCCTTGGGGAGGGGTCCTAAACACTAGGCCTCATCTCCTCCCCTCCTCCTTCTTCAGAGGTGACCAGTGAAACCTTTAACAAGGAAGCCTTCCTGGCCTCTCGGGGCCTCACTCGTGGCTACTGGACCCAGCTCAGCATGCTGATTCCAGGCCCTAGCACCCCCAGGCATCCCCGGGGCAACATGCCATCCTTCGGCCATCTTCTCAGCGGTGCGTTGGGCCTCTCTTCAGGCCTGGGCCCCGCAGCCTAGAGGACTAGGGAGGAAAAGCTGTCTGGGTCTCAGATTAGCCTTCCACATACAAACTGAGTGCCTACGCATTCCACCAGGGCCATTCCCCAGCCCTCAAAAGGGTCACCCCTGCTGACCCCACCCAGGACCCCCCACCCTAGACAAACTCCCTTTCTCTAGCTGGAGCTTCAGGCTGTCTCTCAGGTAATACAGGTCCTTTGGAAGGAAGAGGGGAATGGGTCACGTGGGATCGCCCTGACCCAGGGCCCCTCTGCTTCCTTTCAATCTCTCAGGAGATCCCTATCAGCTTCTCCAGGGAGAAGGGCCTGCCCTGATGCCTCCTGTGCCCCTAGACCCACCCAGAAGCCTCTTTGGTGAGCCAGAGGGGCCCTGTGGGAAACTAGGGGGAGGGACAGGGATTTGAGAGCCAAAAGCCTGGTTAGCTGAGAAAAAGAGTCTTTTGGACTAAAGGGGCTCAGGGTCTAGGCCTAGTGCCAGGTCCTCTAGTAACCCACACCCGCCCCCCCCCCAGGCTCATGGCAGGACTACTACACATGGCGTGGCCTCAGCTTGGACTCCCCCATGGCTGTGCTTCTCACCTATCCACTTACTGTGTACTATGTCATCACCCACCTGGTGCCTCAGTCCTGTAAGGAGAGCTGAGCAGGGTGGGGAAGGGTGCAGGGGCAAAATGGGGAGTTAGGGAAGACAGCCTCTTTAAAGAACTGGCTTCTCACCCAGTCCCTGAGCTCAACATCCAGAACAAACAGTCGCTGAAAATACACGTAGTAGAGGCTGGGAAGGAGTTTGACCTTGTCATGGTGTTTTGGGTAAGTCTCCCCTGGCCTAAGAGTTGGGAATTTTGGTGTGGGGATGGACATGAGGTGAGATCCAGATCTGTCCTTCCCTCTTGTCCTTCAGGAGCTCTTGGTCCTGCTCCCCCATGTGGCCCTGGAACTGCAGTTTGTGGGTGATGGCCTGCCTCCTGAGAGTGATCAGCAGCATTTTACCCTGCAGAGGGTAAGAGCTGAGAGGGGCCCAGCTCTCCAGCCCTGGTCCCTCTAGTGGTCTCCTGACACCACCCCCTCCCCTGTCTTGGTTGGTGCATCCTCCAGTACTCTGACTTTCAGTGGCTTCCCCATCCCACTATTGGCCCCTCAGGATGGCCCGGAGGTGTCTGTCCGTTCAGGTTCTGGCACATCAGCTCGTCTCAACTCTGGTACTAAGGAGAAGGGGGGCCGCAGGGACCTGCAGATTAAGGTATCTGCAAGGCCCTACCACCTACTCCAGGGGCCCAAGCCTGACCTGGTTATTGGTAAGAACCTAGGGCTCAAGGGTAGGCTCGGGGAGTTAGGAGAGAAACAGACCGTGGGAGCCAGCTTCTCCCTCCTCTCTGTCCCTAGGATTTAACTCCGGCTTTGGTCTCAAGGACATTTGGCTGAGCTCTCTGCCCCGGTTACAGGTGGGAGGTTACTTCTCTCAGCACCAGCCCATCCCCTCTCCTAGCTTTTTCTGAAAGTCTCTGGGGTGTCCTTTGCCCCAGACCCAGGGAGCAGGGAGCATGCATCCCTCCTCTTGCCCGCCCTGTGTCTGCCCGGTGTCTCTCCTCCAGCCCAGTCTGTCCTGGGGCCTAGGTTCCAGCACTGTGTGCCCTCCTGGTTGCTTGAGAT